GGAAAATTTTGATTCCTAGAAGGCGGGAAATGAGTTTTCCCGACTTCTGAGGTGTCTTTTAATTACTTTTAAGTTCTTCAAAATTCAAGGTTTCCCCCTTTGAAAATTATTATAATGAATAAATGAACCCAAAGAGAAAAGGGAGGTTCAGGTTCTTCCCGGGAAAATGTTGATTTCTAAATGGTGGGCAATCAGCTTTCCCGACTTCTGAAATATCTTTTAGTGACTTTAATTTAAGTTCTTCAAAATTCAAGGTTTCCCTATCTTGAAAATGGTCAGGTAATTTTTTCCCATTGTTACAGTAAATAGGGGTTATGTGTGTATACGTACATACAAATGTTTAAAAAATGAGTAGTTGCATACAAATTTTCCATAAATTAATAAATCCCAAAAAGAAAGGGGGTTCTGTGGTTTTTCCCCAGGAAAATTTTGATTCCTAGGTGGCGAAAATGAGCTTTCCCGACTTCTGAGGTGTCTTTTAATGACTTTCAAATTCTTCAAAATTCAAGGTTCCCCCCCCCCCACACTCTTGAAAATGATTCAATTAATCAATGAACTCCAAAGATAAAGGGGGTCCAGGTTCCCCCGGGAAAATTTCGATTTCTAGATGGCAGGAAATGAGCTTTCCTGACTTCTGAAATGTCTTTTAATGACTTTTGAATTTCTTTAAAATTCAAGGTTTTCCCCTCTTGAAAAAGGTCAGGTAAATTTTTCTCATTTTTTATTTTATGTGTGTATACATAGGGCCTACATAAACAAATGAGTAGTTGCATGCGTATTTCTTTTCCCATGAATCGATCAATCCCAAAAAGAAAGGGTGGTCCGGGGGGAAAATTTTGATTTCTAGATGGCGGGAAATGAGCTTTCCCGACATTTGAAGTGTGTTTTAATGACTTTTATGTTCTTCACAATTCTAATTTTCTAATTGTAACCAAAAAAAAAAAAAAAAAAAAAAAAAAAATTAGCTCACGGGTCCTGAAAAGGTAAGTCCAGAATTCTTTTCTTTTCCCCCCTTTTTTTTGTTGCCCAAGTGAGGGGTCAGGACCCCCTCCCCCAAATCCGCCAACGTGAATTGCGAGAAAATGTAACTCGGTCGGGTACCGGATAAACATTCTCTTTCCCATCCTTCTCCTCCTTCTTCCCTCCTTCTTTTCTTGCATTTCCGATCATACAAAAATCTCCAGACATTATATATTTTGCCAAAAAGTGGGGGGGGGGGGAGCCCGAGCCCCCGCTTCCGCTGGCCATGCTGTTGTTTTATTTACCTTCTTTCAGGGCTCCAATTGTGGGGGTCATCAAGCCATCCTTATATACTTTAATCATGAGGTGTATGAGTGTACATGTCTTTGACTGATCTTCAATAGTTGGTAGGACAACAGTGTATGGACGATTCACAGTTGACCCTGTGATTAAGAGAAAAAATAAATAAATTAAAAAAAACAACTTTCTATTCCTATAATAATATAATTAATTATTAATAAATAATAATTAATAATTAATTAATAATTAATAATTAATTATTAATTATTAATTATTATTAATTATTATTAATTATTAATTAATTATTAATTAATTATAATTAATTATTCTTTATAATTAATTATTATATAATTTTCTATTCCTGTAGAGCAGGTTTTGTTGAAGCTGTTTTCAATGTAAAATTATCTACTTTATTTATTTTATATAAGTTTGTTTGCAGGGGCATGGGGCAGTACAAAAGAAAAGATATAGAGGAAGATGTTGCATGTGTTATATGAGATAACACCTTAACATAATTCTAAAGAGCATTACAATTGATAATAATAATTAATTATTATATAATTTTCTATTCCTGTAGAGCAGGTTTTGTTGAAGCTGTTTTCAATGTAAAATTATCTACTTTATTTATTTTATATAAGTTTGTTTGCAGGGGCATGGGGCAGTACAAAAGAAAATAAATAGAGGAAGATGTTGCATGTGTTATATGAGATAACACCTTAACATAATTCTAAAGAGCATTACAATTGATAATAATTTGCCAAAAAAATTTTGTATCACATATTAATATAATTTTCATGAATATACACACATCTGGAAACTGTATTTTTAATATTAAATTTAATTGTAATAATATGAACAAGAATATTATCTGCTTGTGATAATATGAAGCAGAATTGAGTCTTAAAATACTTTATAAAATAGTTTATTAACTGCAAGTAAATTATTCCACATTAAGTGAACCTACCATTAACATTGGCTTTTAAATACACATGGTAACCAATCGGAGGGTGCATCCACGAGCCTTCCGGAAGTTCAAAAGTCAGCAACTTTGTGTCATGGGTCACTTCATCAACTTTCTTGACTGTACACATCCGGAATTTCAATTCTATAAATCAAATGATGATAAATGATTTGAATAAAAGTGAATGTATAGAATGTTAGTCTAATCCCCTCATTTCCATGACAAGACTTAAGAGCTCTGGTTCTCAATAGGCAGCTGCGGCACAAATTTGGCCCACAAGGCAATTTAATTTGGCCTGTGAGCAAAAACAAAGTAATGGAAAAAAAAAAATTAAAAACACAATGAAAAATATATTTTTAATAAAGTAGACAGTGCACAGGGTTAAATATGAGATGATATAGGCCATAAATAGAATAATTAGCACCAAAAATCGATTACTAGGTACTTTTCATGGTTCTATTCTTCACTGTGTGCTTCAAACAAGACAAAAGCTCTAAAATTAAACCCTGTAAACTCAGATCTAAAATTAAACCCTGTAAACTCAGATCTAAAATTAAACCCTGTAAACTCAGATCTAAAATTAAACCCTGTAAACTCAGATCTGAAATTAAACCCTGTAAACAGAACTATCAAAAAACTCCCAAGATTTGTATTCTAATGAGAACTGCTAAATTTAACATACCAGCCCAGGGCAAGTAAAACTTTATCATAGACATGATCCAATTTTAAGAATTGCAGAGTCCTGATGCCTGATTTATGACCCAATCCAACGCTGTGCATTTCGCATGTGTCCTTAGGCAAAGCACATTAGCTACAATTGTCTATCTCCACCCAGGAGTACTAGTGGGTAACTAGTAGGTTCAAACACAAAATGCGCTGATTGCTGCTGCAATATTATAGAATTCTCCCCAGAGAGCTGAGTATGTGTTCCATACTTGCTTGCTTCCAATGACTGGGGTAATAATGTGAAGCGCTTAGAGACCTTATTGGCATGAAGCGCAATATAAGTCTAACATATTATTATTATATAAAATATTCTGGGAGTACCAAGGTCCCAGATGATCTACCTTGCTGGATGAACTACTAATATTAATTACGGTGTAATGATACAAACATTTGTCAACTTTATAAGAAAACAAATGCTAATATGGCTGCCACCTGACAGTGATACCATACCTCTTTCCTTTGCTTCCATTAAGGATCCATGGCCTTCCATCTGTTTTCCAAGACCTTTCCAATGAATTCCTGGCTGAACCTTCTGTAGTACAATTTCCAGTCTATGGACCGAGCCTGTCCGTACTTGTACTAGGATAAAAAATATCAACAATTTTAAACCCTTTGTTCAACTTTACATAAACATTTTATACTACTAGCTAAAGCATTAAACAAATACAAAACTGAGCAACTGTGAGTAATGCAACATGAGCACTGTGATCGATCATGGGTTAAAGTGATATGAGTGCTACAGGCAACTAGTAAATGTGAGCCAAGTTGCAAGGGAGACATAGCTAATTTCACAAACAAACTAGATAAAGTTATGTTACTCTTACTGTTTACTACGGCAACTTCTCAGTTATCTTAAAAAAATTGAACTTACTCTGGTAATCTGATGTCACTAATTCAGAAAGTTCTAAAAAAGTAAAACAAAGAAATGTAATTAATTTAAATTACAGTATTAATATTATAATAAATACGATAATAAAAAAAAAATGGCAAAGCAAAGATAGCAAACTAATAAATGAAGAAAAACAATTTTTTTTTGTTAATTATTAGTATAATTATTATATTTGTTAATTATTAATATAATTATTATATTTGTTAATTATTATTATAATTATTATATTTGTTAATTAT